ATGGCTGCAGGGGAGCCTGGATGGCTGCAGGGGAGCCTGGATGGCTGCAGGGGAGCCCCGATGGCTGCAGGGGAGTCCCGATGGCTGCAGGGGAGTCCCGATGGCTGCAGGGGAGCCCGGATGGCTCCCCTGGCTCTGGCTGTCCCCAGCTGCCAGGCTGCTGCTCTGCTGGCTGTCCCTCTCTGTCACCAGGGCCCTGCAGAGCCCCTGCAGCTCTCCCTGTCTGCAGCCTGGCACAGCAGGAGCTGTCCCTGCTGTGGGTGGGCTCTGAGGTCCTTTCCCCCCGCTGAACCCCCGGTTTGGGGCTCAGTGGCCCAGGGGAGCCCCAGCCGTGGCTCCATCCCCACCGGGCTCACCTTGAGCGGGGGCACCCGCGGCACCGCCGCCTCCGCGCCGGGAAAGGGCTGGCTCCGAAAGGCCTGCAGCTGCTGCTGCTGCTGCTGCTGCTGCTGCTGCTGCTGCTGCTGCTGCTGCTGCAGCTGCTGCTGCTGCTGCTGCTGCTGCTGCTGCTGCTGCAGCTGCTGCTGCTGCTGCTGCAGGTGCTGCTGCTGCTGCTGCTGCTGGTGCTGCTGCTGCTGCTGCTGGCAGGGCTCGGCCACTCGGGGCTTCTTCTTGGGGCTGCCCGGGGCTTCCTCCCTGCTCTCCGCCTTCCTCTTGTGGGCCTCCAGCCCGACCTCCATGGCCTCGCTCCCGGGGGGCTCCTTCTCCTTCTCCTTCTCCTTCTCCTTCTCCTTCTCCTTCTCCTTCTCCTTCTCCTTCTCCTTCTCCTTCTCCTTCTCCTTCTCCTTCTCCTTCTCCTTCTCCTTCTCCTTCTCCTTCTCCTTCTCCTTCTCCTTCTCCTTCTCCTTCTCCTTCTCCTTCTCCTTCTCCTTCTCCTTCTCCGGCGTGGCCGGGGCTGCCGCGGGGCTCTGCGCCTTCGCCGCTCCTCCGGCCGCCTCGGGGCTCTTTGGTTTGCTCGGGGCACCCAGAGGTTCCTTTCCTGGCACCTCTTTCGCCAGCCCAGGCCTCCTCTGCTCCTCTGCCCGGGGGCAGGAGGCAATGGGGGGTTTCTGGGGCTGGGCTTCCCCGTGGGCTCTGTCCCTCTC